CAATGAGCTAGCTCATTGTGGTTTTTTTTCTTTTCTTCAAGCAGAAAATCAGTAAGGCAGTAAGGTATTTAAAAATCAACCATCCTATACACATCAGGATAAATATTTTTAGTACTGTGTATGAATGCCCTAAGCCAGACACACACACCCCCAAAAATACTATAAATATTATTATAATCAGTATCATTGTGGGGAGAAAATAAGTTCCCAAGGGTATGAAAAGAGAAACTAAAGGATAATTCCCCGAGGCTCAAAGATTCTCTGTTTTTCAACATAATAAAGGGGAAAAGTGCATGAAAATAAATGGTCAGTTCTGTTGCAACATAGTGCAGTGTGATTCTTGTATGCAAGTTCATAGCCCTTGTGGGTATTTGGGGGGTGGACAGGGAGTTGACTGGCGGAATAAAAAGATCTCAGCCCTCAGCCACTGACCTCTTTTCATACCTGCTATCCATTGACTGAGACATTCTATTCCTATCTTTATATTTGACCTACTCCCTCTTGTTTGGTAACCATACATTTGTTTTCTCTTTTATGAGCTTTCTGAAAGCACAAGTAATAAAACAGCCACCTGTCACCTCATCAAGAAGCAAGCACTTCATTGACTTTGACCAAGAGGGGCTTGTTGGCTGGTGCTGGGTGTACGCAGGCAGGGCCCAGCCTGCACTGACGTTCCTCCCCCACACTGCCACACACCTGTTCCGGGATTCACACCTGACCACCCAGTGCCTCCAGCAAGGGAAGCAGAGGTTGACATTTTGCCAGGTTAGGCCCTGGCCCTTTGCCCTTCTGTTTCTTTGGGGCACTCAAGTCCTTGAAGTCTGTATAACTAGATTGCAATGGTCTCTGTCCCTTGACCCACTGGCTGCTGTGAGTAGCATGGTAGTCCCTTCTTCAGTTCTTAGCACAGGATGGACGGGGACGTTCATCATTGGTGGGTTTTTAGGCAGCTGGCAAGTCGGGAATTGGCTGCTGTCTTTGCCATCTTGGTGGGTAACAGCAGTGAGCTGATGAGAACAGGATCTTAAGAGGACAACACACCATGCCACTGTTTTCCGGAGCTTCCGAGCCCTATCCTCTGCTTACGGAGACCACATAGCCCAAGACGAGCCATGCTGCACAGTGGCTGAGAGTGCTGGCCTCCAACGCCTGAGTTCCATCGTAATCCTGTTACCCATTAGCTCTGGCACCTTGGACACAACAATATAACTTTCCTAAGCTTGGGTTTTCTCGCTTATAAGATGGCAATAATGATGAACAACTCATTAGTTCTTGTGACAATTAAATGAGATAATATATTTACTGCACCAGCAAAATGCCTAGCTTATATCGAGTACTCGGAAAAGTTCACTGGTCTTATTACTGAGGGTAAAAAGGTGGTGTGTACGTGCAGTCCTGGGTGTTAATAAGGAAAGAAGTGCTGTTTTCGAGTGTGGGGTGTGTCCAGTACGGTGGGGGAAGAGGGCTGGATAGGGTTAGTTCTTCAAACATGGCTATCAGACCACTAGAGTCAGGTTTTCTTCTAACTTTGAAATGTTTGAATGCATATCAGGATTTAAAAGAAAGAAATGGGAAAATTAGAAAACATGGCCTGGGCTGGCCAGTTAGCTCAGCTGGTTAGAGTGCAGTGTGGTAACACCAAGGTCAAGGATTCAGGTCCCTGTACCGGCCAGCTGCCAAAAAGAAAAAAGGAAAGAAAGAAAAAGAAAACATGGCCTTTTTCTTTATAGAAAACTTTCAACCCTCCCCTTTACTTCCACCCCTGAGGCTCTTGCTTCCCTTTCCATTCTTTCTTTTCTTCCCCCCATAGCTCTGTAAGTTGGGTTTACAATTATTTGTGTTTGCTGATACTTTCTGCGTCTACTCAGAGTATAAACTGTGAGGCAGGGATCTTTGCTGCTTTTGTTTGGTGGCGGTCACGTACATGGCATTCAGTAAATTCCTGCTGAATGGATGAAGGACTCAGAAGTGTTTATTCCTTGACATTGTTTCCGTGTCACAGTGCTGAAGAGACCCGTCACTTCTGAGGAACTCCTGACGCCTGGGGCTCCCTACGCAAGGAAGACATTCACGGTAAGCTGACAGCTTGGCTTTTTTCTCCTGTGCCATGTCAACAGGTCAGTGTGTAGCTTATGGACGAATTGGAAACTTTTTCCTAACTTTCCTTTTGTTTTTAGCATAATTATAATAGTAGAATTTCTTGACCCTAAGGCACTAAAATGGATTAGGACTTGACATGATTTATTATTAATACAGCACTTGAAATTCTTTTTGATGTGTTCTTGAAAAAAAAATAAAAGATGTGCATTATGCATTTACTTTAATGTGATTACAGATTTTAAGGCAAATGGTAGTGCAAATAATGCCAATAATTCCTCCTGCACTGCAGTTAATTGTAAAAATCATTTAAGACATTAGGGGAGTCTGACAGTAGAGAAAGGGAAACGATGGGATAAATGGTTCTGCCATAAGGAATGGTGCCTTTAAAAATGTCAGCTTGCCTGGAGGTAAAACCTGCACTGCAGTTAATTGTAAAAATCATTTAAGACATTAGGGGAGTCTGACAGTAGAGAAAGGGAAACGATGAGATAAATGGTTCTGCCATAAGGAATGGTGCCTTTAAAAATGTCAGCTTGCCTGGAGGTAAAAAAGCATCTCACCTGGAAGACCCGCATACCTGGGAGCAGCTCCTAACTATGGCCCCTTCTTGGAGGCCCTTCAGCCTTCCTTCTTCCTCCTACCAGACATCATCTGTCACTTAAAATAAATGCCTTCCATTTATTCCATTACCCCAGGAGGAAAAACAAATCTTTCCATACTCATTCACACTGCAGGCATTTGTCAGGGCTACTTTGCATTATGAGCACTGAGGAATTAATATGAGAAAGACACTGATAATACACCTGTATCAGGGGAAAAGGTAAACTGTACATTTGGAAGTGAAATTAGGTGTGATAAACTAATAACAGCAAACCCTAAAGTCATTGAGGTGCTTAAAAGTCTTCTTGAGAATTTCTACAAAAATTTCCATTTGCTTCCCTGCGTTTTCTCAGTCTCCAGAATTCATGAGACTTTTTATGCTGATTATATTTTGACAGTATTAATTTGGGTTTTTAATTTAAATTCTGGCATTGCTAGTATTGGAATATGAATGTGTTTGACCTGTATTTCAGTTGGGATACATGTTAAAGACCAGTTTGAGAGCTGCCCAGAGAACGTAACTGCCAGTTCTAATAATGATTTCTATAGGAAAAGGCACACTCCAGTTCCAAACAACTTTTGGATTAGAGTCTACTTGCAAATTGTGAACTTTGTGTACTTTTTCACTTTATTTTCTTGGTAGAGAAAATTGTATTTCAAGAAAGCCAAGACTCTTCATATTTCGCACCATCAGTAACTTAAACTGTTATTCTAGACTTCAAGACATTGCAGGATCAAGAGTGGATGGTTTGGTCCAGGGGGAAAGAACAAACTCGGAGCAGAAATTGGATCTGGAGAGAACTTTCAACCATGTTTTTAGATCTTTTAAGTCTTCTATTGGAGTCTGATACTAAATTGTCTAGCAGCCTAAGAAAGAAGCAATCTGCCAGTTGTTTATTGAGTAGTCTTCTCCCAGAAGCAGCTTCTTTTTGCCAAACAGGTTATGTTTCCCAACCACATTTGCCACAGAGCTATGCCTTTGTTTGTGATAGAAGCAAAGTGACAGAGTAGATATGAAATGGAGAAAGATGTGTCATGGCCCATACTTAATCCTGGGCCGATGTTCCTTCTCTTGCAAGTGCAGGCAAATTGCCAGGGATTGTCTGCCAATTGCTAATTGTGGTTTTCCCCTCTAGATTGTTGGCGACGCTGTTGGCTGGGGCTTTGTGGTGCGAGGAAGTAAGCCATGCCACATCCAGGCTGTGGACCCCAGTGGCCCTGCAGCCGCGGCAGGAATGAAGGTACCAATCGGTCTTCTGTCACCCTCTTTCGTGTCTGTCCTGGGTTCTGCAGGCTGACTTGGCCATGATTCTCACTTGGGAGCCAAACCCCTCTGGCTTTGTGCCCTTCTCTAATTCTACTTTCTCTTTCTTATTCTCCAAATTCCTTAGCCTTCCCCTGGGTCTTTTCTCTCCTCTAATAAAGCAGTATAAGTTCCGTTAGCCTTATTTCATTGTTTGGTGCCATCTGTACTTTCTCTCTGTGAGTGTTTTGGTCCCATTTTTGTCAAATTTCCTTTCCCTTTCTGAATAATGTTGAAAGGAAGCCAAAAGCTTATGATGTAGCAACCAGGAGAGAAAGTTTTCCTACCTCTCTGCCTGTGCCTTCTTAGTCTCCAAACCGCCCTTGGTTTTTCACATTTCTCCCCTCAACCAATTCTGAGTTTGAAAATACATATATTTCTTTTTGCTTAAATCTTATGTAATAACTGTGCTGCTTCTGTTCTATGCAAGGTATATGCCTGTAGGGTTTATGCAGTCAGTAGCACATACTAGACCATTGAGAATACAGAAACAAAAGTCATGGAATTTGCAAGAGCAGATGTGGATTCAGTTCTTGGTTCTGCTAGTTACGAGCTCTTTGACTTTGGACAAGTTTTATAACATCTCAGAGCCTGTTTCCTCCTCTCTGAAACAACAACCATATTTCCCTCAGCTGTTTTATGGTTTAAATATGTGGAATCTATTGCACAGCAGGGTGATTATAGTCAATAATAATGTATTACTAAAAGAGTAAATTTCAAATGTCTCACCATAAAAAATGGTAGGTAAGCGAGGTGATGCATATGTTAATTAGCTTGATTTAGTCATTCCACATTGTATACATATATCAACACATCCCACTGTACCCCATAGATGTATACAATTATGATTTATGAATTAAAAATAACATAACAGAAAAGAAAAAAACAGAAAAATAAATATGTGGAAATACTCGATAAAGTACAAAGAGCTACACAATATTGAATGAATTGTGCAAGATTTTTAAAAATAATTTTTACACATTTTTAGTGCTAAGAGATACATGTATAGTCAAGAAAATTTGGAAAATATAGACAAGCAGAAAAAGATGAAAATTACCTCTAATTTTTCCTAACTCAGAGATGACTGCTGTTGATATTTTTTGAGCAGCTTTACCGAAGTATAAATGGCATATGATCATTGGCATTTTGATTTATATTCTTCTAGACTTCTTGTATGCATATATGTGTATATACATTGTTCTGATTTATACAGAAATACCATATAAGAGGATGAAGATAACATAGGTTTTCTGCTTCAGAACACTGCCAGCACAGTTCTTTTCTGTGTGAATCATTTCACAGAGGGTAGTTCTCTTGATTAACTAGGACCATGGGAGGATGTAAAACACGGGAAAGTTAAGGATTATTTCTATCATTTATTTATTCAATACTTTCTCCCCTCCCATCAAACCTTTTCCTAGAGCAGTAAACCAGCACAGCAGTAGGCATGATTTGTATCTCCACCTCTCTGATTTATAGCATATAAATCTGGCCCCTGGCACTGTTTTACATACTGGGGGAAAAAACAGGCAGCAGAGAATGGCTCAAAGGAGCAAAGAGCACCTTTCCTTCCGGTCTGGGTAATCAGCGCTGGTGTCATTAGAGCCAGACTCTGCTCCCTGATTTGAAGATCTCATTCACGTGGGGGAAGCACAGACCCTCCAGGTCCTGAGCTCTGGGGCAGCTACAGAAGCCTCACTGGCTAAGGCAGTCTGTGTCAGAGACCTTTCGCACCTTCTCAGCACCACAGTAGGTGCAGCACCAAAGAAACTCAGAGCAGGAAAGTTGGCCAAGATTGTAAAGGGTGGGCATTTGTATCCATGCTGAAGATGAATTTTTTATTTTCTAATGGAACTCTTGGCTGTGGGAAGGATTTTACGTTTTATTTCCACAGTAAAGTACTAGTATAAATTATTTTTGGCACAGTGCTTCAGTTCTGAGGATGCACTCACTTGCACCGGGCTTTGACTTAAAGCACGTTTCTTTTGAGGAAAGCAATAGATTTACATTGCACCTAATGACCTTGTTTTGCTTAGCCATGTGTACCAAGTATTTTGTTTAGCTTAATTGATTTTAGTTCATCTTTCTCGATAAATGTGCATAACCATTTGGGTATTGTCAGTTGGTTAACTAATTAACTCTTTAATATATGTATCTTGATAGATGAGTTACCTGCTATGTTTTTTCAGTGTCATAAACTGATACTTCATATGGCCCATATTTTTAGCTTCTCGGGAGGTCTACAGTGGTTTTTGTATATTGTAGAGCAGTACAGAATTCATTAGAGCAGCAGACCCATGGTTGTATTATACAGCTCTCTGGTCCAGCAAAATGTCCTCTCCTGAGATTTTGTGATCAAAGCACTTTTAAACAGCCACACACTGTATCACCTCCTTGCAAATTTACAGAGCACATTAACATATTGAAAATTCTCATAAATCTGGTAGGGGAAAAAACTTAAGTTTAAGTTGTTTAACATGGGCTGGCCAGTAAGCTCAGTTGGTTAGAGCGTGGTGCTGATAACACCAGGGTCTAGGGTTTTATCCCTATACTGGCCAGCTGCCAAAATAGATAAATAGATAGATACATAGATACATACATGGATAGATAGACAGATAAACGATATTTTATCATTTAAGAGAAACACTCAAATGGAATCTTCATTAATATTGTTAAGGTATAGCCCCAAAACTGTTCTCAGAAGATGCTTTTGGTCAGACTCTTCATTTAAATGAATAGATAGAGATGTATTTTAAATTGTACTGTTGGCTGGCTGAGTGAAAACAGCAGTGAATACCATGCCCTTTCATATAGTTTAGCTGTGTATATTCATTAAAAATTACTTTGTATGTTATTTGCTTATCTAAAACCCTGAATAAATTATTTTTTATTTACCATACGTATTTGTTATAGAATAATTTCACTTCCATAAAAAGTCATTTG